TCCCCCAAACCACCATGGGCCCGATCCTGCCCCTCCCCCTCCCAGCCCAGGCTCCCATCCCCCCAACCCTCCCATGGGCCCAATCCTGCCCCTCCCCCTCCCAGCCACGGGCTCCCACCCCCCAACCCTCCCATGGGCCCAATCCTGCCCCTCCCCCTCCAAGCCACGGGCTCCCATCCCCCCAACAGCCCTTGTCTCTGCCCCCCAGCTCTCACCAGGACCGTGATGGTGATGGACTCGGCCGTGGGGCGCAGCTTGTGGTTCAGGGCGAAGACTCGGAAGTGAACTGGGCAGGGGAACGAGACAGCCAGTGAACGGGGGCAGGGCTGGGGGGAAGGGGGGGTGCAGAGGGATGTGGGGGGCAGGGACTGGGGGGTAAGGGGGTCCATAGGGGACCAGTGTCCGTGGGGGGCAGGAGCTGTGGGATGCAGGCGGCCATAGGGGACCGGTGGCTGTGGGGCACCAGGGGTGTGGGGGGCCATGGGGGGCTGTTGGCTGTGGGGCATGGGGAGCTGGGGGCCATGGGGGCAGGAGCTGTGGGGAGTAGGGGGCAATGGGGGGCAGGTGGCTGTGGGTCACGGGGACCATGGATCGCAGGGGCTGTGGGGCACGGGGGCTGTGGGGCACAGGAGCCATGAGGCGCAGGGGTCCACGGAGGGCAGGTGGCTATGGGGCACGGAGGACAAGGGGGGCTGGGAGCTGAGGAGCATGGGGGCTGTGGGGCACAGGAGGCCCTGGGGGGCAATGGGGGGCAGGTGACTGTGGGGCGTGGGGCCCTGAGGCACGGGGACTGTGGGGCGCGGCTCTCACCCTTCTGCCGGGGCGTGTAGACCGGCTTGTCGGTCTGGATGAGGAGCTGCCCGCGCCGGCTGGTCCAGGCCAGTCTCAGGGTCTGGGTGCCCGGGGGGGGCAGCTGGGGGCTCCGCGCGACCAGCTGGACGTAGCGATCCCGTCGCAGCGCGGCCAGGCCACAGCGAGTCGCCAGGTCCAGGGTCACCTGCGGACGGGGGGTCAGCACGGGGGGCTCTCCCAGGGGCCGAGAAGGGGCAGGGCTCTCCCCAGGGGCAGTGAAGGGGGGGCTCTCCCCGGGGGCGGGGCTCTTCCCAAGGGGCGGGGCTCTCTCCAGGGGCAGTGAAGGGGCGGGGCTCTCCCCACGGGCCGAGAAGGGGCGGGGCTCTCCCCAGGGGGCGGGGCTCTTCCCAAGGGGCAGTGAAGGGGTGGGGCTCTCCCCAGGGGTAGAGAAGGGGCAGGGCTTTCCCCAGGGGGCGGGGCTCTTCCCAAGGGGCAGAGAAGGGAGGGGCTCTCCCCAGGGGGCGGGGCTCTTCCCAAGGGGCAGTGAAGGGGTGGGGCTCTCCCCAGGGGTAGAGAAGGGCAGGGCTTTCCCCAGGGGGCGGGGCTCTTCCCAAGGGGCAGAGAAGGGGGGGCTCTCCCCAGGGGGCGGGGCTCTCCCCAGGGGGCAGTGAAGGGGTGGGGCTCTCCCCAGGGGGCAGGGCTCAGGAGCCCCCTACCTGCAGGCTGAGGAGCTGCATGTGACCGTTCTCGGGGCGCAGGCTGAAGAGCTTCTCGCCGGAGCATTTCTGCCGCGTGTCCACCTCATTCTGGAAGTAGAGGGTCCCGTCGAGTTGCCCGGACACCCCCTCGGCCTGGAGCAGGACCCCCAGCTCCACGCCCACCGGCACCAGGCGGGGGGCCGCCATCAGCAGCCTGGAGGGAGAGAGAGATCGGCCGGTGCCCCTCACTCCCGACCCGCAGCCCCCTGCTAGCCCAACCCCCCCAGCCCTGCCAGTGCCCCTCACTCCCAACCCGCAGCCCCCTGCTAGCCCAGCACCCCCCCAGCCCTGCCGGTGCCCCTCACTCCCGACCCGCAGCCCCCTGCTAGCCCAACCCCCCCCCAGCCCTGCCGGTGCCCCTCACTCCCGACCCGCAGCCCCCTGCTAGCCCAACCCCCCCCAGCCCTGCCGGTGCCCCTCACTCCCGAACCCGCAGCCCCCTGCTAGCCCAACCCCCCCAGCCCTGCCAGTGCCCCTCACTCCCAACCCGCAGCCCCCTGCTAGCCCAACCCCCCCCAGCCCTGCCGGTGCCCCTCACTCCCGACCCGCAGCCCCTGCTCTCCCGGTCCATACCGGGGGGCTTGGTGGCTGGTGCAGACCAGGGCCCCCACACAGGCCAGCCAGAGCAGCAGCCGCATGTTCCTCTAGGTGCGTCTCTGCCCCCGTCTGTCCCTGGGGGTCCGGGCTGGCCCTGGGGAGATGGGGGAGTCGCTGCTGTTTATCTCCTGGGGTAATTATTAACTCGGCAAGGCCCTGGCCTGGCTGCCAGTACCTGGGGGTGGCGGGGGGGCATGGCTGGACAGACAGACAGAGGGAGAGGATGGAGAGGGTGGACAGGAGCCCGGCCCCGTAGGACCCCTCCCCCTCTAGGTCTGGGAGTTCCCCAATGGGGCCCGTGCCTGGGATCAGCCTTTGGGCCGGGACTGGCAGGGTCCTGGCGTTTCAGGGGAGCAGCGTGTGCCCCCCCCCGACCCCAACTGGTCACTAACCCTGAGGTCTTGGCTAGGTCCCGCCCGCTCCCAGGTGCCAGGAAAGGAAACCACGTGACTGCTGGGAAATCACAGAGTGACCCCTGCTCACCCCGGAGATCTGCCCCAGGGCGGCCCTGGGGACTGTGCTGTGGGGTGGGGGCAGGAGGGGGCTGCCCCAGTGCCCCAGGTCTTGTACCCCCTCCAGGGACCCCCAGGGTCTCCCCCAGACAATCGAAGGGGGCAGGAGCCGAGCATCCTGGCCTGGGGGGTCTCTGCGGTGCTGGGGGGAGGTGGCTAGTAACAGGAGTGTGGGGGAGGGGAGATGGGAGCTCGAGGGGCTGGGTGGGGGGAGATTTGAGGTGGGGGATGAGAGGAATATGAGGTCATTGAAAGATCTGGCAAACTACAATAGCAGGGGGCTGCAGGTCGGGAGTGAGGGGCGCCAGCCGGGCCGGGGGCTGCGGGTCGGGAGTGAGGGGCGCCGGCCGGGCCGGGGGCTGCGGGTCGGGAGTGAGGGGCGCCGGCCGGGACGGGGGCTGCGGGTCGGGAGTGAGGGGCGCCGGCCGGGACGGGGGCTGCGGGTCGGGAGTGAGGGGCGCCGGCCGGGCCGGGGGCTGCGGGTCGGGAGTGAGGGGCGCCGGCCGGGCCGGGGGCTGCGGGTCGGGAGAGAGGGGCGCCGGCCGGGCCGGGGGCTGCGGGTCGGGAGAGAGGGGCGCCGGCCGGGCCGGGGGCTGCGGGTCGGGAGAGAGGGGCGCCGGCCGGGCCGGGGGCTGCGGGTCGGGAGTGAGGGGCGCCGGCCGGGATGGGGGGCTGCGGGTCGGGAGAGAGGGGGCGCCGGCCGGGACGGGGGCTGCGGGTCGGGAGTGAGGGGGCGCCGGCCGGGCCGGGGGCTGCGGGTCGGGAGTGAGGGGCGCCGGCCGGGCCGGGGGCTGCGGGTCGGGAGAGAGGGGCGCCGGCCGGGCCGGGGGCTGCGGGTCGGGAGTGAGGGGCGCCGGCCGGGCCGGGGGCTGCGGGTCGGGAGTGAGGGGCGCCGGCCGGGCCGGGGGCTGCGGGTCGGGAGAGAGGGGCGCCGGCCGGGACGGGGGCTGCGGGTCGGGAGTGAGGGGCGCCGGCCGGGCCGGGGGCTGCGGGTCGGGAGAGAGGGGCGCCGGCCGGGCCGGGGGCTGCGGGTCGGGAGTGAGGGGCGCCGGCCGGGCCGGGGGCTGCGGGTCGGGAGGAGGGGCGCCGGCCGGGCCGGGGGCTGCGGGTCGGGAGTGAGGGGCGCCGGCCGGGCCGGGGGCTGCGGGTCGGGAGTGAGGGGCGCCGGCCGGGCCGGGGGCTGCGGGTCGGGAGAGAGGGGCGCCGGCCGGGCCGGGGGCTGCGGGTCGGGAGTGAGGGGCGCCGGCCGGGCCGGGGGCTGCGGGTCGGGAGTGAGGGGCGCCGGCCGGGCCGGGGGCTGCGGGTCGGGAGAGAGGGGCGCCGGCCGGGCCGGGGGCTGCGGGTCGGGAGTGAGGGGCGCCGGCCGGGCCGGGGGCTGCGGGTCGGGAGTGAGGGGCGCCGGCCGGGCCGGGGGCTGCGGGTCGGGAGAGAGGGGCGCCGGCCGGGACGGGGGCTGCGGGTCGGGAGTGAGGGGCGCCGGCCGGGACGGGGGCTGCGGGTCGGGAGAGAGGGGCGCCGGCCGGGCCGGGGGCTGCGGGTCGGGAGTGAGGGGCGCCGGCCGGGCCGGGGGCTGCGGGTCGGGAGTGAGGGGCGCCGGCCGGGCCGGGGGCTGCGGGTCGGGAGTGAGGGGCGCCGGCCGGGCCGGGGCTGCGGGTCGGGAGAGAGGGGCGCCGGCCGGGCCGGGGCTGCGGGTCGGGAGTGAGGGGCGCCGGCCGGGCCGGGGGCTGCGGGTCGGGAGAGAGGGGCGCCGGCCGGGCCGGGGGCTGCGGGTCGGGAGAGAGGGGCGCCGGCCGGGCCGGGGGCTGCGGGTCGGGAGTGAGGGGCGCCGGCCGGGCCGGGGGCTGCGGGTCGGGAGTGAGGGGCGCCGGCCGGGCCGGGGGCTGCGGGTCGGGAGTGAGGGGCGCCGGCCGGACTGGCACAATGGGACAAAGGCAGGAATCGCTTGTTGCGGACGGAAAATCTCGCCCACGATTCAGCTCTAAACAAGCCCATTGTGTGTCCCCGTCCGGGGGGGGAGGGGAGGCCTGTCTGGGCCCCCCCGCAGCTTGGCCCTGATGATGTCAGCGGCTGGCCCCCCAACACCCCCGTGGGTTCAGGGAACAAAGCGGCACCGTCAGGGCCCCGGGTGCGGATTCGGGGGGGCGCTGGTGGGGCACAATGGGGCCTTTCTCGTCCGGGTGCCAGGGGAGGGGGGCGCCGGCTGCGTGAATCAGTCGCGGAGGCCGAAATGGCAAGGGGCACGGGGGGGGCGGGACCCCACCCTGCTGGCTCCAAGGAGAGGGGGTGGGGGGGTTCCTGATGCTGGGGGGAGGGGCTCTGGCTCTGTGGGGGGGATTCCCTTGCTGACGCGGGAGGAGGGGATTCCAGCCCCCCCAGCCACAGGAAGGCTCCGGGTTCAGGCCGGCTCAGAGGCCAGGAGGAAGGAGCAGGGCCGGGTCCTGGGACCAGCAGAAAAGGTGAGAGCACATGGGGGGTTGGGGGGGTCTATGGGGTGTGGGGCTAGGGGGGGTCTATGGGGTGTCCCTTTCTCCAGTGCACTTCCCTACTTTCCCTAACAAACTCCCACACCCAGGACTCCTGGGTTCTCTCCCTGGCCTTGGGAGGGTGGTGGGGTCTGGTGTATTAGAGCAGCGGGGGCTGGGAGCCAGGACTCCTGGGTTCTCTCCCTGGCTCTGGGAGGAGGGTGGGCTCCCCAAGGTTCAGTAGAGCTGCCCCCTCCCACAGGGGGTCTGAACAGGAAATGAGCCCCGGACTTCTGGGTTCTGTACTGTGCCCCATTGGGGGAGGCGGGTGTCCCGGATGCCTGGGTTCAATAATTGTCTCCTCTCTCTCCTGCAAGGAGCCCCATTGGAATCGGGGCCCCCCTTCTCAGAGCACCGAGGCCGGAGCCCCGCGACATGTCAGGGGTGCTGCCCACCCTGGTGGCCATGCTGTGGGGGGGGATCCTGGGGGCCGGGGGGCAGGGAGCCAAGCCAGAGAGGTGAGAGGGGGAGCTCTAGGGCGGGGATGTGGGATCCAGGGGGTGTGGGGTCCTGGGATAGGGGATGGGAGGGATGGAGGGGGTCTCCTTGGAGTGGGAGGGGGCCCTGGGGTGGGTCTGAGGATGCAGGGGAGCTGGGGGGCTCTGAGCAGACAGGGGGGCTGGAGGGCTGGGAGGATATGGGGGGAGATGTGGGGGGGGCCGCTCTCTCACTATCTCTCCCCCCAGCCGGGGTGTCTGTGCCCGTCACACCCTGCGGGTCCCCCTGGTTTACAACGAGACCTTCGCCCGGCCGCTGCACCAGCCCTACCTGACCCTGTGCCCCGGGGGACGCATCTGCAGCACCTACAGGTACCTGCCCCCCCGCAGGACTCCTGGGTTCTACCCAGCTCGGGAGGGAGGTGGGGGCTGGTGGGTAGAGCTGGGGGCTGGGAGCCGGGAGCCAGGACTCCTGGGTTCTCTCCCAGCTCTGGGAGGGGAGTGGGGGCCTAGGGGGGTGGGAGCCAGGACTCCGGGGTTCTCTCCCAGCTCTGAGGGGGAGTGGGTGCCTAGGAAGCTGGGAGCCAGGACTCCTGGGTCCCATCCCTACCCACAGGACCACGTACCGTGTGGCCCTGCGTCAGGTGACCAGGGACGTGCTGCAGACCAGAGCCATCTGCTGCCAGGGCTGGAAGAAGAGACACGTGGGGGCCAACACCTGCGAGGAGGGTGAGTCTGGGGGGGGTGGCTGGGGGGGGAGGACCCCCCACCCCCGCCCTTTTAACCCTTTGACGCCCTTCTCCCTCCACAGCCGTGTGCCACAAGCCCTGCCAGAACGGGGGCGTCTGCACCAGCCCCGGCCGCTGTCAGTGCCGACCCGGCTGGGGGGGGCGTTACTGCCACGTGGGTGAGTAGAACCCAGGCGTCCGGGCCCCTGGGCCCCCCCGCTCCAACCACCAGCCACCACTCCCCTCCCAGAGCTGGGGAAAGAACCCAGGCGCCCGGGCCCCCGACTCCCCTGCTCTAACCCACCAGCCCCCACTCCCCTCCCAGAGAACCCAGGCGTCCTGCCCCACTGCAAGGGTCTCTCCTCTCCAGATGTGGACGAATGCCGCTCGCCCGTCCCGCTCTGCTCCCAGCGCTGCCTCAACACCCCGGGCAGCTTCCGGTGCGAGTGTGAGCCCGGCTGGGCCCCGGGGCCCGACGGGACCGGCTGCCACCCGCTGCCCACCGCCCCAGGTACGTGGGGCACCACTGGGGGGGCTGGGAGCCCGGACTCCTGGGTTCTCTCCCAGCTCGGGGAGGGGAACGGGGGCTGGTGCGTTGGAACGGGGGGAGCTGGGAGCCCGGACTCCTGGGTTCTCTCCCAGCTCGGGGAGGGGAACGGGGGCTGGTGCGTTAGAACGGGGGGGGCTGGGAGCCCGGACTCCTGGGTTCTCTCCCAGCTCGGGGAGGGGAACGGGGGCTGGTGCGTTGGAACGGGGGGGGCTGGGAGCCCGGACTCCTGGGTTCTCTCCCAGCTCGGGGTGGGGAGTAGGGGCTGGTGCGTTGGAGCCGGGGGGCCGGACGCCTGGGTTCTCGGGGGCAGGGCATTGTTTGTTCTCTTTCAGTGCCTCTCTCCTCCCCCCCCCGCCAGTGCGGGACCCCCCCGCCCCGGAGCGGCTGACCAGGCAGGTGCTGGAGCTGCAGCTGCAGATGGAGAAGCTGGAGGAGGTGAGGGGGGCAGGGAATGGGCGGAGCTTAGGGGCTGGGGGCGGGGTTACCGGCTTGGAGGGCGGGGCGGGGGGAGATAGGGGCGTGATCTGGGGGAGCTGGGTGGGAGAAAGGAGGGGCCGGAGGGAGTTTCGGGGCTCAGATGTGGGGGGTTCAGGGGGCGTTGGGGGGAGTTTCGGGGTTCAGATGTGGGGGGTTCAGGGGGGTTGGGGGGAGTTTCGGGGTTCAGATGTGGGGGGTTCAGGGGGCGTTGGGGGGAGTTTCGGGGCTCAGATGTGGGGGGTTCAGGGGGCGTTGGGGGGAGTTTCGGGGTTCAGATGTGGGGGGTTCAGGGGGGTTGGGGGACCCAGGGAGTTTGGGGGCAGGAGCGGTTTGGGGGCGGGGGGCGCTGGCGGGAGTTTGGGGGGCCCAGGGGGATCCGCGGGGAGTTTGGGGCTCACCCCCCCACGGACGCTGCCCCCCCAGCGCGTGGAGCGGGCCCTGGGGACCCTCCGCCGGCTGCTGCCGCCCCCCCTGGCCGAGCTGGGCCCCGACGAGGCCGCCGAGCTCTGGAGCCGCCTCCGGCACCTGGACCGGCTCGACTCGCTCAGCGACCAGCTCCTGCTGCTGGAGGAGAGATGGCCCCTCCCCCCGCCCCGGGCCTCCGGCCTGGGGTGACCCCCCGCCCCCAACCCCCCCCCCCCCCCACCCCCCTGCCCCCCGCCCCAACCCCCTGCCCCCCGGGGAGTGACCCCCCGGGCCCTCAACTCCCCTGCCCCCCCGGCCTGGGAGTGACCCCCGGGCCCCCCCCCCGCCCCGGCCTGGGGGACCCCCCCCCCAACTCCCCTGCCCCCCCCTGGGAGTGACCCCCCGGGCCCCCAACTCCCCAGGCCGGGGGGGGCAGGGGGACTTGGGGGCCCGGGGGCCCGCGGGGGGTCACTCCCCAGGCCTGGGAGGCCCCGGGGGGCAGGGGGATTTGGGGGGCCCCGGGACCCGGGGGCCCCCAGGCCCCGGGGGTCACTCCCAGGCCAGGCCGGGGGGGGGCACGGGCCCCAGGGGGGGGGGGGGAGTTGGGGGGCCCGGGGGGTCACTCCCAGGCCGGGGGGGCAGGGGAGTTGGGGGCCGGGGGGTCACTCACAGGCCGGGGGGGCAGGGGGAGTTGAGGGCCCGGGGGGGTCACTCCCAGGCCTGGGAGTGACCCCCGGGCCCCCCAAATCCCCCTGCCCCCCCCGGCCTGGGAGTGACCCCCCGGGCCCCCGGGCCCCCCAAATCCCCCTGCCCCCCCGGCCTGGGAGTGACCCCCTTCCCCCCCCATCCCCCCTGCCCGGGAGTGACCAGGGACCCTCACCCCTGCCCCTGTCTGTGAGTGACCCCGGACTCCCACCCCCCCCCTTCACTCACAAGCTCTGGGGACCCGGCCCTGGCGGGGGAGGGGAACTTCCGGTCCTGGAGCTTTGGCGGGAGGGGTTCGGGGGGGCTCCCCCAGTTTAACCCTTTCTCTGCCCCCCAGGCTCCTGCCAGGACGGCAGAAACGGGTTCGGATACGAAGTGAACCGGTGACGCCTCCCCCGCCCGGCAGAAAACTGTCGGGGGCGGGCAGGGCATGGGGGGTGTCCCCCCCGCGGCGCTTTCAACCCTTCTTAATGCCTCTAATTTATGCCGGGAAGATGCTAATTAGTGCCGATGAATTAAACAGTTAATTGGATTCCTGTCTCCAGTCCCAGCGCCTTTATTTGGTGCAAAGACGGGGGGGAGGAGCTGGGAGCCAGGACTCCTGGGTTCTCTCCTGGCTCTGGGAGGGGAGTGGGGGCTGGTGAGTTAGAGCAGGCCGGGGTCCTGGGAGCCAGGACTCCTGGGTTCTCTCCTGGCTCTGGGAGGGGAGTGGGGGCTGGTGGGTTAGAGCAGGCCGGGGTCCTGGGAGCCAGGACTCCTGGGTTCTCTCCTGGCTCTGGGAGGGGAGCCGCGGCTGGTGGGTTAGAGCAGGGGGGCTGGGAGCCAGGACTCCTGGGTTCTCTCCCTGCTCTGGGAGAGGAGCGGGGACTGGTGGGTTAGAGCAGGGGGGCTGGGAGCCAGGACTCCTGGGTTCTCTTGCCAACTCTCCCTGCTCTCAGGGCCTGGCCGGAGTCTTTCCTCCCCTCATTGTTCTCACGTTTTCCGGCCCGGCCCGGTGCCGAGAAGCAGCGGGAAGGGGGGGTGGGGGGCAGAGGAAATGAGTCGGGGTGTGAATGCGGCACCCAGCCCTTCCGCAGACGGGGCTGCCCCTCACTGCACCCCCCCAGCCCTGCCGGTGCCCCTCACTCCCGACCCGCAGCCCCCTGCCAGCCCAGCCCCACAGATGCCCCTGAGACCCCTCACCATGGCAGTGGGGCCCTGTGCAGGCCCCACCATGGTTCATGGATGGGGGGCTCTGGGTTGTTGAATTTGGCCCATGTGCCATTAGCCCCACCCCCTCCATGATCCAGGGCCAGGACATCACCCCAGAACTATGACATCATCCTTTGCTGCATGACATCACAGTCTCCTGTCCCTGCCAGCCTCACAGGGTGTGTGACGGTATCACTCTGTGTGTGACATCATCATCCCTGTGTGATGTCACAGCCCTCTCCAGGGGCCACGCCCCTAAACCACCTGTGACCTCATCAGACTTTCCCCTGGCAGGCCCAACCATGGCGTGACATCACCCCCTGCCTGTGACATCACCAGTCTGTGTGTAATGGCAGCAGTCCCTGCCCCCCCAGGGTGATGACATCATAACTCTGCATGACCTCAGTGCTCCACCCCCTCTGACATCAGCCCCCTTGCTCCCATGACAGCGCTTCATCTTTGTGATGTCACCATCTCCTACATGTGACATCAGGCAGTGACCTCAGAGACAGGGGCTGGAACAAAACTCAGGGGCCATGCCCCCTTTCCCTAGGGATGTGCCCCAGAGGGGAGGAGTCAGATGGCCAAGGCCCCACCCCTCTCAGGTGGATGACTGCCCCATAGTGGCCTGGGATGGGCACGCAGAGTTGTGACAAAGGGGTGGGAATGCCTAAGGGTGCCTCAGTTTCCCTCCTTGGTACCCACTACTGCAAAGGTTTAATCTGCTCTGGGGGCAAGTGAGTGGGGGCGCATGGGCCCTGGCGCTGTCTGGGGGTATTATAGGCCAGGCTGGGACTGTCCCCCAGGGCGGCTGGAAAGCCAAGGGACCCCCCAGCCCAGGAGGCAATGCAGGGCCCCTGCTGGGGAGTGAGGGGGGAAGGCAGCAGGGTGACAGGACCCCAGTTTGGGGAGGGGTCCAGGGCACGGCCCAGTCACTGAAGCGAGCCCCACAGATGGGCAGCTGTGGGGCACCATGGGCTCCGCCTGCTAAGGGGTCAAACCCAGCGACCTGGAAACAGAGCAGGGCCTGGGGGCCCATTACCAGGGGGAGGAGCTCCCAGTCCAGGCCCCGCCCACAGTGAGCAAACCTCCCAGCCCAGGCCCCGCCCCCACGCCACCCACCGTGACCAGGGAGAGGAGCTCCCAGCCCAGGCCCTGCCCCCACTGACCAGGGGGAGGAGCTCCCAGCCCAGGCTCCACCCCTACCCCACCTGCAGTGACCAGGGGGAGGCACCGCGGGGCGGCCACGTTCTATGGTGTTTATTAAAAGCAGAACGGTCACGGGTGCAGGGACCCGACCCCCCCCAGCAATGAGAGAGGGTGCCCTGGGGAGATCCCTAGGGGGCTCGGTGCCCCCCTCACGCCAGGTCCCCCAAGGAGCAGCCGGGGTGGGGGGAATAATTGGCAGGATCTTGCCCCCCCCTAAATTACAGACAAAGAAACAGTTAATAAATACATACCATGGCCCCCCTGCTCCTAGGGGCCAATCAGAAGCCAACATCCCCACCCAAATTTGAACCATGGAGCCCCTGCACAACTGAAAACCCCCCATCATAAGCCAGGGTTCCTGGCAAGCCCCCCATTACCCCTTCTCTGCCCCCCACCAGCCCATCACCCCCCGCTCCCTCCCACCAGTCCCCCATCACTGCAGCCAGCCCCTCATTACCCCTCCTTCCCTCCCCTGCCAGCCCCCCATTACCCCAGCCAGCCCCCCATTACCCCTCCTTCCCTTCCCCTGCCAGCCCCCCAGCCAGCCCCTCATTACCCCTTCTTCCCTCCCCCATCAGCCCCCCATCACCCCAGCCAGGCCCCAGATCCTGATCCCCTGCCCTCCACGCCCCTTCCTTCCTCTGATCCCCCCATCCATGGAGAAAATCCCTCCCCCCAGCTAGGGGGGACTCCAGGGCCATCCTCCCCATTTCCCCTGTGGGGGGTTATGCCACCTCCCCACCCCCATCCATCCTACAGCATCTCCACCTCTGGGGGCATCAACAGGGGGATGTGACGCCCCCTTCCTGGGCAGGATCCATCCAGATTTGGGGGGCGGGAATAAACATCCGTCCCTCCCCAGATAAGATTCTTCCACTGATGAGTGAATCTGGGAGGGGGGGATTTGTTTCTCCTGTGTCCACTCCCCCCTTCCACATGGCACCGTCCATCGTGTCCCTGGCACTGTCTCCTTTCCACGGTGCACCCCCAGATGGGGGGCAGAGGGCATGTGGGGGAAGAACGAACGTCTCTTCCACGGCTTCCTCCCCTGCAGCAGGAGGGTGGAGTGGGATGGTCCGTGGCTTCCTTCCCCCACAGCAGGAGGGTGGAATGGTAGAGTCCGTGGCTTCCTTCCCCCCCACATAGGAGGGTGGAGTGGACTGATCTGCACCTTCCTCCCCGACAGAAGGTTGGAGTGGAATGGTCTGGCTTCCTTCCCTCCCCCTACCAGGAGGTTGGAGTGGAACAGTCCCTGCCTTTCTTTCTGTCCTCCCCCGAAAGGTTGAAGTGGAATGGTCTGCAGCTTATTTTCTTCCTGGGGGAGGTTGGAGTGGAACAGTCCATGAGGTCCTTTTTTTTCCCCGGCTCCCCCCTGTGGGAGGGAGGAATGGGTTGGTCCACAGTTTCTGTTCCTTCTCCCAGCAGGAGGCTGGAGTGGATCAGTCCATTGTTTAATCCTCCTCCCTCACTTAAGAAACTGGAGTGGATCAGTCCATGGTTCAGGCTGGAGTGGATCAGTCCATGTTGACAGGGCGGGGGTAGCTGACGGTGGGGGTGCGGGAGGTACCAAGTGGCTAAGCTGGGAGGGGGGTGTCGGAATGCTGGGTTAGTCGGTCTGGTCCACGGCTGCCCTGCCTAGTGGGCGTGGCCGGTGCTGGCTCCGCCCACTCAGCGTAGGCTCCGCCCCAACTGGCTGGTCGGGGGTCACTGCGGGGTGCGGGGCTCCTGGCCGGGGCTCAGCTCCCCCGACAGGCGGTCGAAGGCCTCGAGCATGGTCTGGCGCACGCTCTCCGTCAGAGCCGGCACCGCCTCCGGGCCCAGCCCCCGCGTGGGCATCGGCGTCAGCACCTGGATCAGACAGCGCCCTGCAGGGGAGGGGGGCGCGTGAGGCGGGCGGGAGAGCCCGAACTGCCCCCACCTACAGCCCCCGCAGCCCCCTTCCCCCATCTACGGCCCCCTTCCCCCACAGCTCCCTTCCCCCACCCACAGCCCCCCACCGCACAGCCCCCTTCCCCCACCTACAGCCCCCGCAGCCCCCTTCCCCCATCTACGGCCCCCTTCCCCCACCTACGGCCCCCCAAAGCTCCCTTCCCCCACCCACAGCCCCCTTCCCCCACCTACAGCTCCCCGCAGCTCCCTTCCCCCATCTACGGCCCCCTTCCCCCACAGCTCCCTTCCCCCACCCACAGCCCCCCACCGCACGGCCCCCTTCCCCCACCTGCAGCTCCCCGCAGCTCCCTTCCCCCACCTACGGCACCCCCCACCCACCCCTCTCCCTGACCCCTGGGGTCACTCACCCGTTGTGAATCTTCTCTCCTTCTTGCTGTAGAAATCGCGGTACGAGGACATCACGATGGGGATCACGGGCACCTGGGGGGGGCGGGAGGGGGTTCAGAATCCCACCCTGCGCCTCAAAGTAGCGCCCTGGGCCCCGTCTCCCTCATTCCCACGGGGCTGCATCTCCCACACAGCGCCCGTGTGAGGTGTCGTGTGAAACCCGTGAGCTGCTGAGACCCGCTGGCCTGTCCCAACGTGGGCCGCGTTGGGGTGCAGGGAGCTGTGAGCTGCTGCTGTGGGGGGGCTACTGGGACCGGCGGCGACCCACCCCCAGGCGGGCGCTCCTCGACCCTGAGGCCTGCCCGAGCCCCATGCGCCGGGGCGGGGCTGCTCTGCGACCCGGGTGCACGAGGCCAGGCCGGGGGATCGCCCGGCCCCGGGACTCAGCAAAGCCCGTCGGGACTCCGGGCGAGTGTCGTAGGCACAGGGGCCGAGGGCAGAAACGAGGGGACGGGGCCTCATGCGTTGGCCCTTCTTCTCCCCCGGCCACGCGGCCCCTGGGCAGACAAAGCCTCTGACCGAGGAGACTGGCCCCAGGCTGCAGGGAGAGGCCCGGGTCCCGTGGGGCGAGAGAACGGGTGAGCCAAGCCCGCCTGCGAGGAGCCGTCAGCTGTAGCCGGTGCGCTCACCGGGCGTTCGCTTAGGTAACGAGCGCGGCCCTGCGGCTCACCGCCTCCCGTCTCGCTCTGGCGTGAATAAACCTGGTTTCTATTGTCCCTAAAACAGGGGGTTTGCTCGGCGAGCTCGGGGTCTCCGCTCCGGTACAAAGGCTGGGGCGTGTCCTCCCCACAGCCGGGGGGGCGGGCGGGTAATGAACTCACACTGGCCAGGCTGCTGCCCAGGAGAGGCCGGCCCAGCTCTGGGGTGCAAGGCTGGGGCCTGGGGGGGACTGGCTGGGGCCTCTCTCTGTGTGCGAATTGGGGGTGGCTCTGGGAGCCTTCATGCGACCTCACCAGGTGTGGGGCTCCCCATGGGGCTGAGTGATCACAGCACCTGGAGGGTTTGCTGCAGCTCACTGGCCTAGCTCTGTGAGAGCCAGCCCAGGCTGGAGTGTGAAGGGGGCCCAGGGGTGCCACGGTCCCAGGCGATACCCCGGGAACCCTGTCAGCCCCAAGTAACTCACTGCACCCAGCCCAGTCAACATGGGGCTGAGAATCTCTCCAATACCCCCCCCCCATCAACCCTGCTACCTGGGCCTGCACAGCCAGGGGGAGCCTCGGGTGGGGGGGGGAACTTACCTGGGCCCACACGGGGCTGGGGGGGTGCTCAGGGGAACGTACCTGGGCCTGCACAGCCAGGTGGAAGGCCCCGCGTTTGAAGGGCAGCATGGAGCCATTGTGGTTCCTGGTTCCTTCGGGGAACACCCAGACCCGGACCTGCCAGAGAGTGTGGGGTGAGAGTGGGGACACACGCAGCACTTCCCCCCATGGAGTCCCCCATACCTCCCACCCCCACACAGACACCCCCATGAAACCTCCCAAAACAGCCCCCCAGACACCCTACCCCAGACACACAGACACCCCCATGGAGCTGTCCCCACCCTAACCACATAGGCTCAACGCGGCCCCCCGCAGCTGTGCACCCCTCCGTTCTCCCCCCCTACGTTGTCACGCAGCATGGTCTGCGCCGTCTCCGACATGACGCCGATGGCGTCGTCCGTCTTCTTGCGGTTGATGAAGATGATGCCGCCGAGCCAGCAGGCCAGCCCCACGGTGCCCATGTACATCAGCTCCTTCTTGGCTATGGGCACGCAGCGGTCGGGCAGCACCTCCATCATCCCTGCGGGGAGCGAGGGGTTAACGGGCTGGGAAACCTCCCACCACCAGCCGGCCCCGCCCACCCCTCCTCCAGCCCTGCGGGGAGCGAGGGGTTAACGGTTAACGGGCTGGGAGCCCCGCCCCCACCAGCCGGCCCCGCCCACCCCTCCTCCAGCCCTGCGGGGAGCGAGGGGTTAACGGTTAACGGGCTGGGAGCCCCGCCCCCACCAGCCGGCCCCGCCCACCCCGTCCTCCAGCCCTGTGGGGAGCAAGGGGTTAACGGTTAACAGGCTGGGAGCCCCGCCCCCACCAGCCGGCCCCGCCCACCCCCTCCTCCAGCCCTGTGGGGAGCAAGGGGTTAACGGTTAACGGGCTGGGAGCCCCGCCCCCACCAGCCGGCCCCGCCCACCCCCTCCTCCAGCCCTGTGGGGAGCAAGGGATTAATGGACTGGGAGCCCCGCCCCCACCAGCTGGCCCCGCCCCCTCCCACTGTGCCCTCTGTTGGGCTCAGCAGGGACTGCAGTAGCTGGGTGCTCCCCCTCCAGCAAAAGGCCCGCCCCAGCCCCCCGCCCCGGCCCCCTGCCCCGGCCCCGGCCCAGCCTCGCCCCGGCTCCCCCGCCCCACCCCACCCCGGCCCGGCCCCGGCCCGGCCCCCCGCCCCACCCCACCCCGGCCCGGCCCCAGCCCAGCGCACCCAGCAGGTCGAGGGAGCTCTGGTGGTTGGACACCACGACGTAGGGCTCGGGCAGGTTGAAATGCTCCAGCCCGCGCACCTCGATGTGGATGCCATACAGGTACTTCACGTGGTGCAGCATGAACCGGATGATCCTGGGGGGGGACAGAGACAGCGGGGTATTGGGGGGGGCTCCCCGAACAACCCCCCCCCCCGAGGGCTACATTCCAGCCTCGGGCTTCACTGAGACGGGGCCCCACCCCCCCCGCCGGCTACAGCCCTGCCCCCGCAATATCCCACCCCTGAGCCCCTGGGCACCGAAACACGGCCCCCTCCCCCCACTATACCCCACCCCCCGGAACCCCTGCCCCCCCGCTATATCCCATCCCCTGGGACCCCCGTCCCCTCGACACAGCCCGTCCCCCTGCTATATTGCACACCTCCCAAGCTACATCCCAGCCCCTAGCACAGAGATGGCCCCCCCGGGGCCCCCAGCCCCAGGACACTCCCCAGCCCCCCCCGCGGCCCCGCACTCACTTCATGTTCTCCACGCTGCGGCCCCGCAGGGCGCAGAGCGGGATGACCAGCACGGCCAGCGTCAGGATCCAGCCGTTGTAGAAGGCCATCTTGCAGAAGTACCTGAAGGAGGCGCTGCACTCGTAGAGCAGGGGCACGGCCAGCAGGAGCAGGGCGAGCGCCCACTGGGCCAGCGACAGCTCCATGGCCCTGCGGAGACACGGCCCGTCACGCAGGCTGCCGGGCGGGGTAGCGGGGGGCTGCGGGTCGGGAGCGAGGGGCACCGGCAGGGCTGGGGGGGCAGGGCTGGGCTGGCAGGGGGCTGCGGGTCGGGAGCGAGGGGCACCGGCAGGGCTGGGGGGGCAGGGCTGGGCTGGCAGGGGGCTGCGGGTCGGGAGTGAGGGGCACCAGCTGGGCTGGGGTGAGCCCAGGGCGGGGTAGCAGGGGGCTGCGGGTCAGGAGTGAGGGGCACCGGCAGGGCTGGGGGGGCAGGGCTGGGCTGGCAGGGGGCTGCAGGTCGGGAGTGAGGGGCACCGGCAGGGCTGGGGGGGCAGGGCTGGGCTAGCAGGGGGCTGCGGGTCAGGAGTGAGGGGCACCGGCAGGGCTGGGGGGGGCAGGGCTGGGCTGGCAGGGGGCTGCGGGTCGGGAGTGAGGGGCACCAGCTGGGCTGGGGGGAGCCCAAGGCGGGGTAGCAGGGGGCTGCGGGTCGGGAGTGAGGGGCACCAGCTGGGCTGGGGGGAGCCCAGGGCGGGTTAGCAGGGGGCTATGGGTCAGGAGTGAGGGGCACCAGCAGGGCTGGGGGGAGCCCAGGGCTGGGCTGGCGGGGGGCTGCGGGTCGGGAGCAAGGGGCACCGGCAGGGCTGGGCTGGCAGGGGGCTGCGGGTCGGGAGTGAGGGGCACCGGCAGAGCTGGGGGGAGCCCAGGGCGGGGTAGCAGGGGCTGTGGGTCGGGTGGGGGGGGCAGGGCTGGGCTGGCAGGGGGCTGCGGGTCGGGAGTGAGGGGCTCCGGCAGAGCTGGGGGGAGCCCAGGGCGGGGTAGCAGGGGGCTGCGGGTCGGGAGCAAGGGGCACCGGCAGGGCTGGGGGGGCAGGGCTGGGCTGGCAGGGGGCTGCGGGTCGGGAGTGAGGGGCACCGGCAGAGCTGGGGGGAGCCCAGGGCGGGCTAGTGGGGGGCTCCGGGCGTGAGGGGTGCCAGGGCCTGGCGGGGCTTTGGGCAGGGAGTCCCAGGGTGATTTCGCTGGCACAAGCCCGGCTTTCCCTGGCGAAAGGCCCCGAGCCCGTGGGATGGAACGGCCCGTCTGGGGCTCTCTGGAGCGGCCGGAACCGAGCAGCAAAGCAACCGGGGGCTTTGCGAAGCCAAAGGGAAAGTCACTGGGGGGCAGAGCACTGGGGGGAGCGGCCGCAGACAGGGCTCGTCTGCCGCCGGTCGAACCACCTGGGCTGTAAAAATGCAATCGACAGAGACACACAGACACACTCCGATGCTGCCCCGCCACGGACAGCTATGCGCGGGGTGTGTGTAAGAACCGCGTGCATGCGGCAGACGGGAGTCACACGCCCCACGGGTGTGCACACGCCAGGCTGAACACACGCCCATGGACTGCGTCTGCAGTGCACGTCCGCGTAGGCAGCGTGTAGCTGTGACAAAGCGGGAACTGTCTGCAGTGTTTTCTGAAGCCGCGCGGTGCCTCAGTTTCCCCTACCCTGTGCACGGTGCCCAGTGGATGGCAGCGCCCGGGCAGGGTTGAATGGAACCAGCTCAAGCCGACCCAGAGCAAGACGGGGGCGGGAGAGACGGTGCTGGAGCCTCAGAGGGCCGCGGACCAGGGGTGTGGAGCCAGGGGGCCCGGCCTGGGGACCCGCGAGTGGGGGGCTCTCCCCAGGAAGGGGCTACGGGACGGGGGCTCCGGACGGCTCAGTGGGACGTGCCGGGGGGACGCCTCGGCTCAGGCTGGACAATGCAGCGGCGGGTCCCCGGAGCAGCTGCTGACGCCCGGTGGCAGCGATAGGGGGCCCCGGGTACGCGAGCACTTCAAGTTCACAGCGTGTGTGCGCCAGAGCGAAAACGGTTCACACCAGCGCCTCGTGTGCGCACGGGCAGGGGGTACGTGCCGGCCCTCGGGCACGCGCGGCTCGTCCGCAGCACGCGTACACACGGTGCGTACAATCGTCCACAGCACGCGTACACACGGTGCATACAATCGTCCGCACGCGCAGCTCGTCCGCAGCACGCGTACACTCGGTGTGTACAATCGTCCGCAGCACGCGTACACGCGGTGCGTACAATCGTCCGCACGCGCGGCTCGTCCGCAGCACGCGTACACTCGGTACGTACAATCGTCCGCACGCACGGCTCGTCCGCAGCACGCGTACACGCGGTGTGTACAATCGCCTGGCAGCACGCAGACACGCGGTGCGCATAATCGCCTGGCACGCTGCTCGTCCGCAGCACGCGTACACTCGGTACGTACAATCGTCCGCACGCACGGCTCGTCCGCAGCACGCGTACACGCGGTGCGTACAATCGTCCGCAGCACGCGTACACGCGTGCGCATAATCGTCCGGCAGCACGCATTACACGGGTGCGCATAATCGCCTGGCAGCACGCTGCTCGTCCGCAGCACGCGTACACGCGGTGTGTACAATCGTCCGCACGCACGCTTCGCCTGGCAGCACGCCAGACACGCTGCGCGCATAATCGCCCGCGACGCATGGCTCGTCCCGCAGCACGCGTACACACGGTGCGTACAATCATCCACAGCACGCGTACACACGGTGCATACAATCGTCCGCACGCACGGCTCGTCTGCAGCACGCGTACACACGGTGCGTACAATCGTCCGCAGCACGCGTACACACGGTGCGTACAATCGTCCCGACGCACGCGGCTACATCCGCAGCACGCGTACACACGGTGCGTACAATCGTCCGCACGCACGGCTCGTCCGCAGCACGCGTACACACGGTGCGTACAATCGTCCGCACGCACGGCTCGTCCGCAGCACGCGTACACACGGTGCGTACAATCGTCCGCACGCACGGCTCGTCCGCAGCATGCGTACACACGGTGTGTACAATCGTCCGCAGCACGCGTACACGCGGTGCGTACAGTCGTCCGCAGCACGCGTCACCATTTTCAAAGGGGGAGACAGGCCGCCTGTGGCCGCTAGCGGGGCATTGCCCTGCTCTCCATCGCTGGGGAGATCCTTGCTGGAGCCGCACCGAGTCGCCTGCTCCCTCTCACGGAGGACGCACTGTCAGAGCCCCAGTGCGGCTTCAGACCACCCCGAGGCGCCACCGAGAGGATTTCCGCAGCCGGGCGGATCCAGGGAAAACATCAGGGACGCCCCCAGGAGCTGCACGCGGCCTTATCGACCCGACCAGCCGCAGGCTCTGTGGAACATCCTGTCAACGTTTGGCTGCTCAGGCAGATTTATCACCGTGGTCAGCCTCCTCCAGGACCGGACGGCTGCCTCCCTCCTGTGCTGTGGGTCTGCCTCTGAGCCCTGTGTCGTCCCAACGGGCGTGAAACAAGGCTGTGTACCGGCCCCCGCCTCTTCTCCCTTTCCTCAGCCGCTACGAAAACACTAACCCAAGACCGTCTACCCCGGGACACTGGCATCCAGCATCGGACTGACCCTAACCCTAACCCCTTCTCATCTCCAGCCCAGAACTGCTATCGGCAACAATAACCGAACTCCGGTACGCAGGCGATTGCGCTGTCGTTGGGCACTCAAAGGGGGACCTAAAACAGCCCATAATTGCTTCTCTGAAGCTTCCAAAAGCCTCGGGCTGACTCTGAACATCGGCAAATCAGAAGTTCTCCACCAGCCACTCCCCGGTCAAGCATCAGACCCAGCAAGGAAGATCTGGATCATAGAATCCTAGAAGATCAGGGTGGGAAGGGACCTCAGGAGGTACCTAGTCCAACCCCCTGCTCAGAGCAGGACCGATCCCTGACTAAATCATCCCAGCCAGGGCTTTGTCAAGCCTGACCTTAAAAACCTCTAAGGATGGAGAGTCCACCGTTCCAGTGCTTCACCACCCTCCTAGTGATATTTTCCTAATATCCAACCTAAACCTCCCCCACTGCAACTTGAGACCGTTACTCCTTGTTCTGTCATCCGCCACTACTGAGAACAGCTGAACTCCATCCTCTTTGGACCCCCGCTTCAGGTAGTTGAAAGCAGCTATCAAATCCCCCCTCACTCTTCTCTTCCGCAGACTAAACAATCCCAGCTCCCTCAGCCTCTCCTCATAAGTCATGTGTTCCAGACCCCTCATCATTTTTGTTGCCCTTCGCTGGACTCTCTCCAATTTTTCCACATCCTTCTTGCAGTGTGGGGCCCAAAACTGGACACAGTAGTCCAGATGAGGCCTCACCAGTGTTGAACAGAGGGGAACGATCACGTCCCTCGATCTGCTCGCTATGCCCCTACTTATACAGCCCAAAATGCCATTGGCCTTCTTGGCAACAAGGGCACACTGCTGACTCATATCCAGCTTCTCGTCCACTGTCACCCCTAGGTCCTTTTCTGCAACGACGAAGAGGAAGTGGAAAATGTAGAATTCTTTGCCTATCTTGGCAGCCATCTCTCAGAGAGGGCAGAGAGAGACGTCGACATTCAGCACAGGCTCTCTCGCCGGGCGTTTAACAATCACATCATCAGGACACACACAAGACTTTTCGTTTACCAAGCGGCGGTAACCCCAACTCTACGGCTGTGAGACGTGGGTGACCTACAGACAACAGCTGAACAGCCTGGGACGCCAGCCCCAGCACGGCCTCCGGAAGATCCTCACAGTAACCTGGGAGGATCATCGCACTGCGGCCAGTGTCTTCACAGAGGCCAACATCTTCCGTGATTATCCACCACCAGCTGCGGTGGAGCGGGCCCTGGGTGCGCATGGCCGACGCACGCTTACCAAAACAACGGCTGCACGCCCAGCTCACCAACGGAGAAAGGAAACGGGGAGGCCAAAAGAAACGCTTCAGACACCCGCAAGATAAACATCAAGAGACGTGGCATCGAGAGCACGCACTGGGAGACAGCAGCCCAGGATGGGGTAACTGGCCAAGACTTGTCAGAGGGAACGTCCACGTTTGAGGGAAATCGCCTTGCCCCGGTCGCAGAAAAACACCGGCCAAGAAAGGAAACACAACGGTCACGCAGCACTTGCAGGCCAGCCCTGTCTTCCAACACCACCCGCAACCTCTGCCAGGGAGCCTGCGGCTCACGGACCGGACTCCTCCGTCACCACAGGACCCATGAAAACTAAAAGCTGTGAAAGATCATCCTTGAGGGATCGCCGACGAGTACACGTACATTCAGTGTGTACAACTGTACACGCGCACGGCTTGTCTGCAGTACGCGTACACACCGTGTGGGTAATATCGACACCCCCGGACTGCGCCTGCCTGGGGGCGTGCCCCAGAACACAGACTGCACGCCCAGGCCGTGGCTGCAGCGTCCACGCTCACGCGGTGTGCCCACAATGCAGGGAACGTCACCCCCCCGCCGATCAGTCTGTCGGAGCGTGTCCCTTTACACGCCCGATGCACTCGCTGGCTGGGTGCTCACAAGCGTCCCTCGCACGCTGGATCTGCACCCGCCGTGCATCTCCAATACGAAGGCCCAGTGCAGCTCTGAACACACTGTAAATTCACACACGCACACAGCGTGCACAGACGGCGACGGTGCCAGACAGGTTCGCACCCATGGTCCTTCGAGCCAACAGCCTGTGCCCAGCAGCCTGTAACCCCCAGGGAGTCGCCAGCCCTGAGCTCTGGGGCGCCCCAGGGACCCTTCTCCAGCCCCATCGTTGTCTCCCCGCTAGGACCCCTCCACGGGCCATGCCCCCAGCGATGCCCTAGTGCCAGATGCCATGTGCCCTGGGCTGTGCCTGCTGGCAGGGCAAGCAGATGGCGGGGGTTCCCGGGGGCAGGACGTGCAGTCAGCTGCCCCCCTCACAGCACCCCCAGAGCTCCCAGGCGCGGCGGCTGCCCTGGAACCTGGCTCTGTTAGGGTCAGCACACCCGTCCTGCCCGCCCTTCGCTCGGACCCCCGGAGCACCACAGGGGGGATGGGAAAACCTCACTTGGCTTAAACACTCGCTGTCAACAGGAGCTGAGAGCCTGTACGTCCCCCTGTCCTCCAGCTGTGTACAACACACCTGCGGGGCGTGCAACACACGGTCAGCGTACAGCCGTGCCCCACGCCTGTACCTAACACACAGAGTATGCATCACACCCGCGGGGGGTGCAACACACGGTCAGCATACAGCCGTGCCCCACGCCTGTACCTAACACACAGAGTATGCATCACACCTGCGGGGCGTGCAACACACGGTCAGCATACAGCCGTGCCCAATGCCTGTACCTAACACACAGAGTATGCTTCACACCCGCGGGGCGTGCAACACACGGTCAGCATACAGCCGTGCCCCACGCCTGTACCTAACACACAGAGTATGCATCACACCCGCGGGGGGTGCAACACACGGTCAGCATACAGCCGTGCCCCACGCCTGTACCTAACACACAGAGTATGCATCACACCCGCAGGGGGTGCAACACACGGTCAGCATACAGCCGTGCCCCACGCCTGTACCTAACACACAGAGTATGCATCACACCCGCGGGGGGTGCAACACACGGTCAGCATACAGCCGTACCCCACACCTGTACCTAACACACAGAGATTTGCTCACACCCTGCCAGGCGCACACCTGCAGGGTGTGTAACACATTGTCTATACACATGATGTAAATAATATGTTTAGTTTCAGAGTATGTTGACACTCTCTCACACATGGTCACACACACACACAACACACAGAGTACGTCATATTGTGTCTGTACATACACGGGGTAGGTAATATACTGCTGCTATACGTACCCCGCCCCCCCACATACACACGGTGTATACCGTATACACAAACACGCAGGGGGTATAGAATACTGTCTACATACTCACGCACAGGGCTTGCCTGTAACACATTATCTATACAGCCATCTGCACGGTATGCGATATACACCCTGTGTGCGTATCTAGAGATAGTACAACACACTGTCATAAACACGCCCAGAGGATATAGAATATACTGTCTCTACACAAGCAGGGTAGGTACAGATATCCTGTCTACACACACACACTGTCTGTAACATACACTCGCACACAGTGTGTGTATGGTGGGAACAGAAACACACACTGAACAGCCATACGCTCTCAGTACTTGCCCAAATGCAGGGTGTGTATACAACCGACTGAGACCGTACCACAATCTCCCCAGCACACACGCAAACACGCCCCGTACACATCTCTCGCCCCGGCACAGCAAGTTGTGTGGCTGGGAATTTCCTACGGTTTTAATCCCAGCGGGGTGACATCACGGGCCCGGCCCGGCTGGAGACACCCGCTCAATGAAGCGGAGAACAAGCGAGCCGGGAGGGAGACAGGAGAGCGAGGGATGGGGAATTTCCTCGCCTGGGGTGGAAGAAACCCTGACGCCGGCAGCGAAGGTGAACAGCAGGGATGGAAATGGGGGCCAAGCAGGGGAGCTCCGGGGAACGGCGTGAGCAGCTCGCACCGGGCGAGGCGACCGCCCAAGTCCCGCCAGAAAAGCCTGGCTGGCCACATGGTCCAAATTCACGAGACTCCACATGTGGGCCTCTGTCGGGCGCGCTGCCCAGCCGCGCCCACGGCCCGCACGGCCACAAACTTTGGGAACGGAAAGCGAGAGGTTCCTGCCGCAAGCCCGTGACTCCAGGAGCTGGGGGTTCAAGGTGGGGGGGTACCACGGCTGGTACGTGGCCATCACACGGACTCTACCACAAGACGGCCGGCCCGTGATGCAGCGGGAACGCAAACATGGCAGCAGGGGGCAGCGCAGCCCCGTGTCACACACACACATTGTGGCCCCACAACAGCCCACGTTTGCACACCCAGCGGGTGTGTAAGTACCACCCTGGACACAGCCCCCATCCCCGCACCCGGGGCAATGAGCTTGGGGCCTCTCAGCCCCCCAAGCCACCAGGCGGTGGGGGGCTGCGGGGGCTGGCTCCGGGCTGCAGGGCTCCCCGGCTGGGATGTGGGGCACTCCCCGAGCGGGGAGGGGAGGGGCAGGGGCAGGGGCAGGACCTGACTCAGGAAGGGGAAGGGATAAAAGGAGGGAAGTGGGGGGGAGGAGGGATGGGGTGACCGTGACCCCCCCTCACAGCCCCAGCACCTCCCTGCCCCGAGGGACATGCCCAGCTGTGGGGACCCACAAACTCCACCCCCCCACAGCCCCCCGCCCGTTCTCTGCCCCACAATCCCCCAAACTCCCCCCCTCTCTGCCCCACAATCCCCCCAAATTCCCCCCGCAGCCCCCCGCCCGCTCTCTGCCCCACAATCCCCCAAACTCCCCCCCTCTGCCCCACAATCCCCCCAAATTCCCCCCGCAGCCCCCCGCCCGCTCTCTGCCCCACAATCCCCCAAACTCCCCCCCTCTCTGCCCCACAATCCCCCCAAATCCCCCCCCAGCCCCCCGCCCGCTCTCTGCCCCACAATCCCCCAAACTCCCCCCTCTCTGCCCCACAATCCCCCCAAATTCCCCCCGCAGCCCCCCCGCCCGCTCTCTGCCCCACAATCCCCCAAACTCCCCCCTCTCTGCCCCACAATCCCCCCAAATTCCCCCCGCAGCCCCCCCGCCCGCTCTCTGCCCCACAATCCCCCAAACTCCCCCCTCTGCCCCACAATCCCCCCAAATTCCCCCCGCAGCCCCCCGCCCGCTCTCTGCCCCACAACCCCCCAAACTCCCCCCTCTCTGCCCCACAATCCCCCCAAATTCCCCCCGCAGCCCCCCGCCCGCTCTCTGCCCCACAACCCCCCAAACTCCCCCCTCTCTGCCCCACAATCCCCCCAAATTCCCCCCGCAGCCCCCCGCCCGCTCTCTGCCCCACAACCCCCCAAACTCCCCCCTCTGCCCCACAATCCCCCCAAATTCCCCCCGCAGGCCCCCGCCGCTCTCTGCCCCACAACCCCCCCGCGCTCCCCCCGGGAACCCCCCCGGCACCTGCGGGGCTACTGGGGTCGGGCGGCGGCGCGCCCCGCCGGGCTCTACCCCCCGCGCCCCCGGGCTCGGGGCCGGGCCATGGCGCCTGGTGCTGATGCTGCCGGCGGGGGAGGGCGCAGGATGCTCCGGCTCCGGCTCCGGCGGCTGCGGCGGCGCCTCCCCCCGCGGCTGGGGGGGCCCGGCAGGAAGTGGGGGGGCGGGCTGCGCCGGCAGCCAATCAGCCCCGCGCCTGCCCTGCTCCGCCCCCGCCCCCCTTGGGCCCCCCCGGGCCCCCCGCCCCCCACTCTCTCCCCTCCCCTCCGTCCCTGCCCCATCCCCCGCCGCTCTACCCCTCTGCCCCCCTCTTCTAGCCCCCTCCATCTCCCCCGACCCCCGCCCCTCCCTTCCTCTCCTCTCTCCCCCCGCCCCTCTATCCCTCCCTGCTCTCCCCCCCGCGGCCCCCATCCCCCCAGCCACCCCCCCCATCCCTCTTATCCCCCCAGCCAGCCACCCCTCTCCCCACATCCCCTCGCCCTCCTGTCCCCGCAGCCAGCCACCCGCCCTCCCCTCCCCGCCCCTCTATCCCTCCCTGCTCTCCCCCCCGCGGCCCCCATCCCCCCAGCCACCCCCCCATCCCCCCAGCCAGCCACCCCTCTCCCCACATCCCCTCGCCCTCCTGTCCCCGCAGCCAGCCACCCGCCCTCCCCTCCCCGCCCCTCTATCCCTCCCTGCTCTCCCCCCCGCGGCCCCCATCCCCCCAGCCAGCCACCCCCTCCCCACATCCCCTCTCTCTCCTGTCCCCCCAGCCAGCCACTCCCCTCCTCTCCGCCCCCGCCCCTCTATCCCTCCCTGCTCTCCCCCCCGCGGCCCCCATCCCCCCAGCCACCCCCCCATCCCCCCTCCCTCTTATCCCCCCAGCCAGCCACCCCTCTCCCCACATCCCCTCGCCCTCCTGTCCCCGCAGCCAGCCCCCCGCCCTCCCCTCCCCTCTCCCCCCGCCCCTCTATCCCTCCCTGCTCTCCCCCCCCACCCCCTCCTGTCCCCCCAGCCAGCCACCCCCTCCCCACATCCCCTCTCTCTCCTGTCCCCCCAGCCAGCCACTCCCCTCCTCTCCGCCCCCGCCCCTCTATCCCTCCCTGCTCTCCCCCGCGCGGCCCCCATCCCCCCAGCCACCCCCCCACATCCCCCTCCCTCTTATCCCCCCAGCCAGCCACCCCTCTCCCCACATCCCCTCGCCCTCCTGTCCCCGCAGCCAGCCCCCCGCCCTCCCCTCCCCTCTCCCCCCGCCCCTCTATCCCTCCCTGCTCTCCCCCCACCCCCTCCTGTCCCCCCAGCCAGCCACCCCCTCCCCACATCCCCTCTCTCTCCTGTCCCCCCAGCCAGCCACTCCCCTCCTCTCCGCCCCCACCCCTCTATCCCTCCCTGCTCTCCCCCCGCGGCCCCCAACCCCCCTCCTGTCCCCCCAGCCAGCTGCCCCCCTCCCCCACATCCCCTCTCCCTCCTGTCCCCCCAGCCAGCCACTCCCCTCCTCTCCTCTCTGCCCCCGCCCCTCTATCCCTCCCTGCTCTCCCCCCCGTGGCCCCCAACCCCCCTCCTGTCCCCCCAGACAGCCGCCCCCTCCCCACATCCCCTCACCCCTCTATCCCTCCCTGCTCTCCCCCTCGCGGCCCCATCCCCCCTCCTGTCCCCCCAGCCAGCCACCACCCTCCCTTCGTCTATCCCCCCGCCCCTTTATCCCTCCCTGCTCTCCCCCGGCGGCCCCCATCCCCCCTCCCATCCCCCCAGCCAGCCACCCCCCCCCACATCCCCCCTCCCTCTTATCCCCCCCTCTCCCCACATCCCCTCGCCCTCCTATCCCCCCAGCCAGCCATCCCCTCCCCTCTTCTATCCCCCCGCCCCTCTATCCTTCCCTGCTTTCCCCCCCCGCAGCCCCCCACCCCCTCCTGTCCCCCCAGCCAGCCACCCTCCTCCCCTCTTCTATCCTCCCACCCCATCTCTCCATCCCTCCAGCCCCCAATCCCTCCCTGCTCTGTCCCTCCCCCCGGGCCCCATCCCCATCCCTCCATCATTCCCCTGCCCCCTCTCTCCATCCCTCCAGCCCCCAATCCCTCCCCGCTTCTCCTCGCCCTTGGTCTGCTGCTACCCTTCCCTCTGTCCGCCTTCAGTCTCCTGCCTTGGCTCCTCTCCGCTCTTTCAGCCCTTGCTCCTCTCTGGCCTCCGGCCTCCCCCTTCCTTCTTCCCTTCCTTCTCTGTGTGCCAGACGCTGGGAATGGGCGACGGGATGGGCCACTCGATGGCCCCTGCTCTGCCCATTCCCTCTGGGCACCTGCCCCGGCCACTGTCGGCCGACGGGACACGGGCCTGGATGGACCCTTGGTCTGACCCAACGTGGCCATTGTTACGTTCTCTCATCCATGTGTCCACCTCTTCCTTCCTCCGCCTTCGCCTCTATTCGCTCGGCCCCACGGGCTGGCTCCCGCCTCCGCCCGGGCTGTGTCCTCTGCCCCGTCCCTCTGCACCGCCCCGTCTCTCTCCTCCGCCCGGGCTGTGCCCTTCATTTCTTCTCTCTCCCCCGCCCCATCCCTCTCCTCCGCCCGGGCTGTGCCCTTCGTTCCTTCTCTCTCCTTCGCCCTGTCCCTCTCCTCCGCCCGGGCTGTGCCCTTCGTTCCTTCCCTCTCCTCCGCCCCGTCCCTCTCCTCCGCCCCGTCCCCCTCCTCCGCCCGGGCTGTGCCCTTCGTTCCTTCTCTCTCCTCCGCCCCGTCCCTCTCCTCCGCCCCATCTCTCTCCTCTGCCCCATTTGTGTCCTTCGTTCCTTCCCTCTCCTCCGCCCCGTCCCTCTCCTCCGCCCCGTCCCTCTCCTCCGCCCCGTCCCTCTCCTCCGCCCCGTCCCCCTCCTCCGCCCGGGCTGTGCCCTTCGTTCCTTCTCTCTCCTCCGCCCCGTCCCTCTCCTCCGCCCCGTCCCTCTCCTCCGCCCCGTCCCCCTCCTCCGCCCGGGCTGTGCCCTTCGTTCCTTCTCTCTCCTCCGCCCCGTCCCTCTCCTCCGCCCCGTCTGTGTCCTTCGCCCTGTCCCTCTCCTCCGCCCGGGCTGTGCCCTTCGTTCCTTCCCTCTCCTCCGCCCCGTCCCTCTCCTCCGCCCCGTCCCCCTCCTCCGCCCGGGCTGTGCCCTTCGTTCCTTCTCTCTCCTCCGCCCCGTCCCTCTCCTCCGCCCCCATCTCTCTCCTCTGCCCCATTTGTGTCCTTCGTTCCTTCCCTCTCCTCCGCCCCGTCCCTCTCCTCCGCCCCGTCCCTCTCCTCCGCCCCGTCTCTCTCCTCTGCCCCATCTGTGTCCTTCGTTCCTTCCCTCTCCTCCGCCCCGTCCCCCTCCTCCGTCCCGTCCCTCTCCTCCGCCCCATCTGTGTCCTTCATTCCTTCTCTCTCCTCCGCCCCGTCCCTCTCCTCCGTCCCGTCCCTCTCCTCCGCCCCATCTGTGTCCTTCATTCCTTCTCTCTCCTCCGCCCCGTCCCTCTCCTCCGCCCCGTCCCTCTCCTCCGCCCCGTCTGTGTCCTTCACCCTGTCCCTCTCCTCCGCCCGGGCTGTGCCCTTCGTTCCTTCTCTCTCCCCTGCCCCGTCCCTCTCCTCCGCCCCGTCCCTCTCCTCCGCCCCGTACCCCTCCTCCGCCCGGGCTGTGCCCTTCGTTCCTTCTCTCTCCTCCGCCCCGTCCCTCTCCTCCGCCCCGTCTCTCTCCTCTGCCCCATCTGTGTCCTTCGTTCCTTCTCTCTCCCCCGCCCCGTCCTTCTCCTCCGCCCCGTCCCTCTCCTCCGCCCCATCTGTGTCCTTCATTCCTTCTCTCTCCTCCGCCCCGTCCCCCTCCTCCGCCCCGTCTGTGTCCTTCCTGTCCGGTCTGTGTCCTCCGCCCCGTCCCCCTCCTCCGTTCCGTCCCCCTCCTCCGCCCCCCTGTGTCTCTTTCGTTCTCTCCCCCGGCCGGCCAGGGGCCCGGGGCAGGCAGAGGGGGCTGAGGGTGCTGGGAGCTCGTGGGGCCGGGGGTTGCCAAGACAGGCGGGGGCGCAATGGGCGGAGTGGCCGGTTACCATGACGGTGTTGGCCTGGTTGCCGGTTACTGAGATGTTGTGGGCAGAGTTGCCGGTGACCATGGCGATAGGGTTGGGTTGATGGGCATGGGGCTGGCAGTTGTCACGGTAACGTGTCAGGGTTACTGGCGACTGCAGTGACATGATGGGGTTGGCGGTTGCCATGGCAGCCTGGGTGGTTGTTATGGTGACATGGAGGGGTGACCGGTTGCCATGTTGGAATTGTGGTTGCCACAGTGACATGGCGGGTTGGGGGCGGTTGCCATGGTTGCACGGCGGCCATTTTACCCAGGCCACTCTGGCCATTGTGGGGCTCAGGCCTCACCCTGGGCACTAAGCCCCAAACCGGAAATGTCTCCCACCCAATCAGGGCCTCCCCCACCAGGCACCAGCCCCTCCACCACCAAGACGCTCCTCCAATCACTTCTGGGTCCCTGAGCCAATTGGACGCTGATTGGATCAAGGGGATGTCGATCAATCTGTGTATGGCCCCATTACCCCGCTGCAGCCAATTAGTCTTCTGGCTGTTAGAGTGACAGAAGCAATATCCAATAAAAATCCGTCTGGCTGCAGCGAGACCCCGCCCCATGGTGGTGATGGGCGCCGGATCGCTGCTGTCAATCAAGATTTTCTCCCCACCAAGCGCCAATACCCGCCTCTTTCCCCAGCCGCCAATCAGATAAATCTGAGCCTTGATCGGCAGGAATAGAAGCCAATAGAAATAGCCTATGTCGCCGGCCACTAAAAAGAGGGCTCTAAACAGCATGGGCCAATAGCAGATGAGCAGATTATGATTGACAAACAGAAGACCCAATACAAATTCTAGTTGGGCGTACGGCAGGTCTTACTGAGCAGCAGCCAATGGAATCTGTCACTATCTTTGATTGACAGCAGCTGAACCCATTGAGCGAGCGGGAGCATTGATTGGCCGTCGCAGTGGCCAATGGGATTATCTAAGGGAAGGAGGCGGGGTTCCCGTCCAGGGGGGCGGAAGATGGCGGCAGGAACGGGCCCGGGGGTCCCGGACGGGGGCCCCGAGGTGCCAAACCGCGACCGCGGCGCCTTCGAATGTAACATCTGCCTGGAGCCGGCCCGGGAAGCGGTGATCGGGCTCTGCGGGCACCTGTACTGGTGAGGGGCGGGGCGAGGGGGAGGGGTGCGGGAGGGGCGTGTCCGGGCGGGGTGAAAGCGAGGCGGGTGAAGGGGGAGGGGCATGCCGGGGACGGGGAGGGTGAAGGGGCAGGACAGGGTGGGGAAGGGGGAGGGTGAAGGGGGAGGGGCGTGTCGGGGTGGGGGGAGGGGCAGGGTGAAGGGGGGAGGGGCGTGTCGGGGTGGGGGGAGGGGCAGGGTGAAGGGGGAGGGGCGTGTCGGGGTGGGGGGAGGGGCAGGGTGAAGGGGGAGGGGCGTGTCGGGGAGGGGGAGGGGCAGGGTGAAGGGGGAGGGGCACAGTGAAGGGGCATGACGGGTGGGGGAGGGGCAGGGTGAAGGGGGAGGGGCGTGTCGGGGTGGGGGAGGGGCAGGGTGAAGGGGGAGGGGCGTGTCGGGGTGGGGGAGGGGCAGGGTGAAGGCAAGGGGGCGGGTGGGGTGAAGGGGGGGTTGGGATGGACGTGTTGGGGGGCAGGACACATGTAATTCCTTCTCTCTCTCTCTCCCCCCCCTGCAGCTGGCCCTGCCTGCACCAGGTGAGTCCCGGGGTGGGTACCTCCCCTCCCATAACCCTTCAGTGCCCCCCCGTGGCCCCTCAACAGCCCCCTTCCCATGTTGTTTCAGGCCCCGCTCTGCATGTGACTCCCTCGGGCCCCCCATAAGCCTGTGCCTGCCCCCCGAACCCTGAGGGGTGGGGCAAGCGGAGGCAGTGGGGGGCTGCGCGCTAACCTCCCCCTCCTCCCGCAGTGGCTGGAGACACGCCCCGAGCGCCAGGAGTGCCCCGTCTGCAAAGCTGCCATCAGCCGCGACAGGGTCGTCCCCCTGTACGGCCGGGGCAGCGCGGGCCAGCAGGACCCCAGGTGCGGGGCAGGGCGGGGGGGGGCGGCAGGACCCCAGGTGCGGGGCAGGGCGGGGAGGGGCGGCAGGACCCCAGGGGCAGGGCGGGGGGGGCAGCAGGACCCCAGGTGCGGGGCAGGGCGGGGGGGGGGCGGCAGGACCCCAGGTGCGGGGGCAGGGCGGAGCGGCAGGACCCCAGGTGTGGGGCAGGAGGGGGGGCGGCAGGATCCCGGGGGCAGGCGAGGCGGGGCTGAGGGAGGGTGGCAGAACCCAGGTTTGGGGCGGGGGGGAGAGGAGGGGATGGATGGGAAGCATTGGCGAGATGGGGGGCAGGGAGGGGGCGTGTTGTTCTGACCCATCCCCCATGGCTCTGCCCTTCTCAGGTTGAAGACCCCCCCTCGGCCGCGGGGGCAGCGCCCGGAGCCGGAGAGCCGTGGGGTGAGTGTGAGGCAGCGGGCCACCTCCCCTCCCCAACGCTGCTGAGGTCCCCTTCCCCCTAGGGCCGTGCCCCATGAGCCCTCCCATGGTGCTAAACCCCCTTCCCCCAGGGCCATGCCCCCCCCAGTCACCCCATGGTGCTAAACCCTCCTCCCGCAGGACTGCTCTCTCCCCTCCTCCCACGGTGCTAGCTCCCCCCTTCCCCCCAGGGCTGCGCCCCCCCGCCCCCCGCACGGTGCTAACAGCCCTTCTCTCTGCAGGGCCCACCCCACACCTACCACGACACGGGCTTCCACATGGCCTTTGGCATCGGAGCCTTCCCCTTCGGTGTCTTCACCACTGTGCTGCGGGGGCCCGAGGCAAGAGCAGGTACAACCCCCCCAGATCCCTCACCCCCCCATGGACCCCCCTGCTGCTACCCCCACATACCCCCTGATCTCCCTGCTGCTACCCCCAGATCCCCTACCCCCTCCAGACCCCCTCCTGCTACCCCCAGCCCTCCCAATCTCCTCACTGCCACCCCGAGATCCGCCCGATCTCCCTGCTGCTACCCCCAGCCCCCCAACCCCCATGGACTCCTCCTGCTGCTACCCCAGCCCTCCCAGATCTTCCCGCTGCTACCCCAGCCCCCTGCGGACCCCCCTGCTCCTCCCCCAGCTCCCCACCACATGCTGCCCGCTCCCTGCTGCTATCCCAACCCCCCACAACTTTCCACTGCTCCCTGCTACCCCCCTTCCCTCTCCCCTTCCATTACACCCCATGCTGGACCCAGCCCGCAGCTTGGCATGGGGGGGCCAGGCTGGATTCCCCTGGTCCCCACTTCCACTTACCTCTCTCTCCCCCCAGATGAGGCCGGCGCCCCCCGCCCCTCGGGCTGGCAGGATTCGCTCTTCCTCTTCCTGGCCATCTTCTTCTTCTTCTGGCTCCTCAGCGTCTGACCCCCTGGGGGGCCCCGCCCCCCCCCAACGCAGCCCCAGGACACTGCCGGACTCACCCCCTGCCCTGAACCACACGGATGGGGAGGGGGGGTTTCCCCGATCCCTGTGCCCACCAGGGGCAGCTCTGGAATTTGGGGAGGGGGTTGATGGCTGGTTTGGGGGAGATGTGGACCCCCAAGTGGCTGGGCTTACTCCCGCTTACACTCCCCAATTTATATTGGTCCCCAGTGTGGCGCTCCCCCCCGCCTGGAGCCCGTCTGTGGTACCCCCTGCGGGCTGGCCCAGGAACTGCAGGCTGGAGAGGATCGCAGCTGGGGGTGTGCCCCGGGTTAGTGGGGGGGGGTTGGGGGGCAGCAGGAGCCCAGGGGGGCTCTCTGGCTCTTGAGATAATCGTGGTTGAATGGAGGGGAATAGCAGCTGGGGGTGGGGGACAGGGGGGAAAGCAGGGTTGGGGATTCAGTGTACGCTCCCAGCTCTGATTAAAACATCAGTGATTCTTCAGCCCCCTGCGAAGAGTGTGGGGGGAGGGACTGAGAGGCTTGGGGGGCTCGGCCCCGGTGCCCGAGAAACCAGAGCCGTGAACCATCAGGCCTGGGCCCGAGGAAGATGGTGCTGGAGGAAGGCGGGGGTTGGGGAAAGCGGGGGGTCAGGGGAAAGCGGGGGGGCTGGAGGAAGGCGGGGGTTGGGGAAAGCAGGGGGGCTGGAGGAAGGCGGGGGGTCAGGGGAAAGCGGGGGGGCTGGAGGAGGGTGAGGAGCAGAGAGGTTCTGTGACCGGCCCAGACGAGCCCGAGAAGGATCAGAGCCGGGGGGTCGCAGCCCTGGCCCCCTGGGTGAAGGGCCGCGACCGGCCTGCGGGCGCCAGCGAGGCTGGTGAAGGGGGGGCATGTCCCTGGCAGCAGGCTGGCTTGAGGGGGGGTTCCCATGGGGGAGGTGGAGAAAAGGGACCAGCAGGGGCTACAGTTCAGGAGGGAAGGGCACCAGCAGAGCTGGGGGCAGGACTGGGGTGAAGTAGTGGGGGGAGGCGTGGCTGGGCCCATTGGAGGGTCAGCCAGCTTGGGGGGTGGGGGGGCAGCGATTTTCCCCTCACCCGTGTCCCCCAGCCAGATCTCCCCCAGCTATGCCAGGGGCTGTGTTAGGGGCAAGCCCAAGATATGTGGGAGCAGAGCCCATCCCTCCTGCTTCTGGGGAGGGGAGCAAGACAAAGAGCGGGAGACAGGTGGGGTTTCACGCTGCTCCCCCCAAGCTGACCCCTCTAAGCAGCACCTGTAGCTGTAGCCTAAGTCGGGGGACCTTGAGGGATTTGGGGGCCTGGTATGGAAAGCAGCAGATGTCCCCCCTTTGGGGGCATCTCTTTGAGTGGGGCTCAAGTTGAGGGTGTCCTTGGGGAACCCCGCCCTGGGGGGAGGCTTTGATTAGGGCAGCCTTGATTTTGGGGTTCAGGTTGGGGGAACTGATTTGGGGGAGACAGCAAGTTTCAGGGACACCCCCGCTTAAATCCATGGACCTGAAATAACCAGCAGGTGGAAAAAATATATTTTATTATATAGGCAAAAAAGTCTGTACAACAGCAAAGGGGGGTCAAACCCTGGGGGGGGACCCCAAACCAACACACATGAACTGTGCTGCACCCCTCCCCTTACTAATCCATTTGAGGCCTAGTTCCCCCTCAGAAGCCTGCTCTTGAGTAAGGCTCATTCTCCCCCCCGCCTCCACCCCAGCTCTCCTAGGTTGGGCCCACAGCCCCACACTGGGGTCCTAGGGTGCAGGAGAGGCCCCCATGTCACTCCTGGGCTCCTCCCCATGCAACGCCTGCGTGTCCCCCCTTCCCACCTCCCCAAAATGGTCCAGGAGCCACCATTGATGCAGGAGACAAGATGGCTGCGCTCAGCCAAGCAAAACAGGAGGATCCAGAGGGGTTGGGTAGGGGACAGACCCCCCCTCCCCCCCGGCTTATTAACTGATAGAAGGGGGGGCAGGGTCCCACACACACAGCTGGGGGGGGGCTGTTCCCCTTGAGGGGAGAGGCCCCATTTCTGAGGGAGAGAAACAGGGACAATGGCCCCATGAAGGGCAAGGGGATTGAGGTTCTGGGGTTCCTGGGGCAGGGTATCGGGGATGGAGAGGGGAAAGAAGTGGGGTGGCAGGGATCAAAGGGGGTTGAGGTTGGGTCAGCCACAGGGAGGGGCATTGGGGTGATGGGGGAATCCAAGGGGTTGGGATGACAGGGTTCAGCATAGGGATGGGGATTGGGGTGATGAAAGGGCTCAGGGATTAGGGGGATCCAAGGGGGTGAGGATTGGGGTCAGAGATTGGGGTGAGGGGAGGTCTGAGTGGGGAAGCAGCTGGTGGGGGGGGTTACATTCCAACCAGCTGCCCCCAAAGTAAACCCAAACAAAACAGCCCAAACCAAAGTGTAACCCCTGGGGAAGATGCCCAGGGACCCCCCTGTAACCCTCCCCCCCCGAGCCACTGGGGGGATACCCAGAAAAACAACAAAAATTAAGAAAAAATGACAAAAAACACAGGGTTTTACACATTCTAAATGTTCCCCACCCCCCAAACACTCCCCCACATCACTGCACTGGGGGGGAGACACCGTGTCAGGTGTGACGGAGTCCCCCCATCCAGTCCTGCCCCCTTACCCAACCCAGGTCCCCAGTAACCCCCTCCTCCACTCCAGCCCTCCTCCCCCAACTAACCCCCTCTCCAACCCCCACCCCCATGTCACCCCACCATTTCAGCCATTGGTCTGTTCCCATCCCCCCGGCAGACACGCCGGATCTGCAGACGATAAAAGAAATTAACCGGGACAGTGGTGGGGGAAGGAATCACCATGGGGGGCTGGGGCCCAGCGCCCCCCACGTCGTGGCGGGGGCTGGGGGGTCAGAGGTAGACGGTTCCGTGGTCTCTGGCTCGGAGTCCGAGTCTCTATTGGTGTCGCATTGAGGTAAGTAAAGTAACGGGCCCGCGGCGCCGGGCGAAACAGTCCCCTTCCCGTGCCAACCTGGCTGCTCCTCGGGGGCTCGGCCCGGCGCTCGCGCCTGGCTCGCACCGGCCGGCCCCGCGCCAGGTGCCAACGGCTAGAGTTCAACTTGTCAGTCTCACGCCGTGTCTGCTGTTCCTCTTCTCCCACCAGCCCGGCTCCCCTGGGCAGCCCCCCGCCTCCCTCCCCATCACTTCTTTCCTGCCCCCACTCCAGACACCCCCATTTCCCGCACCGAGAGAACAGCTTCCCACGGCTGGGCGGGGCGCTGGGGCTCAGCTCCCCCCAACATCCTGCCCTGGGGCCCCTGGTTGTGGGGGCGATGGCAGCTGGCCAGAGCGGATGTCGGGGGGGGGCAAGCGAGAGGAGGAAGCGGCCGCGCGAGGGAGCTGAGAAAATGGGGAGAACGAGGCGGAAATGGGAGAGAAAACAGCGAGTCCGGCGCCCACGAGGGGCCCGGGGACGAGAAGGAAACGCCCTGAAGAGTGAGAAAGGCGGGAGGGGAGCTCGGGGGGGGGGGCTCTTGGCCGCTTATTTGGGGGGGGGGGGGGGGGGCTCTCACATCCTTTGTGCTGCTCATTCAATACAAAAATGCCCAGGGAGCCTGGCTACGGCCCTGGCGCCATCTTGGATCGACCCCCCCCCAACAGATGCCATCTGGATTCACCCTACAAAGAGACGCCATCGGGGGGGTCCCCACCGGGCACCACCTTGGCTTGTATCCCACGGAGAGACGCCAGCCGCCCCCCGCCCCCCATGGGCATGGCCGGGGGGCCGGGGGCGGGATCAGTTGGAGGTGTCGGAGTGGACGCTGCCGGGTCCTTCCGTGGGGGACGTCACCGAGCAGGGGGTAGCGGCTTCCTGCCACCCGCCGTTAGCCTGGGGGCGGTCAAAGGTCACAGGTCACATTGCGCCAAGCCCCCCCCACCCCCCAGATCCCTACCTCCACCTTCCCCAGTGGTTATTGCCCCCCCGCCCCACTGAGAACAGTGAGCTCCAGAGCGGGGATCGGCCCTGGGAGGAAGGGGAGGGGCAGGATGGACTGAGAGGGAGTTAGCAGCTGGGAGGGGATGAGGGGCGGGAGGCAGCTGCTGGGGGGGGGATTTGGGGGGCACGAGGGACGGGGGGCCAGGACGCAGCCGCTGGGGGGGGGATTTGGGGGGGCGGGAAGAATTGGGGGGCGGGAGGCAGCCGCTGGGGGGTGGGATGGATGGGGGATTTTGGGGGAGGTGGGAGGCAGCTGCTGGGGGGGTGGGATGGATGGGGGATTTTGGGGGGGGGTGGGAGGCAGCCGCTGGGGGGGATTTGGGGGGGTGGGAAGAATTGGGGGGCGGGAGGCAGCCGCTGGGGGGGGTGGGATGGATGGGGGGATTTTGGGGGGGCGGGAGGCAGCCGCTGGGGGGGGTTGGGGGTGGGATGGACTCACCCTCATGTCGCGGGGGCTGTAGAGCTGGCCGGGTGCCAGGCCCTCCCCATAGGGCCCCTGGCTCATGGAGTGACGCAGAGACTCCACCTGGGGGGGAAGACAGTGAGGAGCTGGAGCCAGGAGGCGGGGGTATCGGGGGGGACGGGGGGGGGATGACACTGGCCCTGGGGGCCGGGGGGCGGCATTTCCCCAGGACTGAGGAGCTGGGAGGGGGACAGAGCTCGGGGCACCAGGGGTCCGAGGAAGGACAGACGGATGGGGAGACAGACAGAGCTTGGACCCAGGGGTTCATCCCACCTTGGCCGGGCTCTGGGGGAGCAGGGGGGCTGCAGGCCCAGACGTCCGGCCTCGCGGGGGCAGGGAAGCCATGGGGCTTCCCCTGGAGGGTGAGACACCCCCCTCGGGGGTCTGGCTCCCAATGGGTCCTCCCAGGGCCTGTTGCAAAGCGGGGGCCGTAGCCCCGATGTGGGGGGCTGTGACCGGGGGGCTCACCTGGGAGGGGGGGTACGCGTCCCCGTTGAGTCCCGGCAGCCCCAGGAACAGGTCGCTGGAGCTGGAGAGGTTGAAGGAGCCGCCGGACCCTGGGGGGGCCGGGGGGAGACAAACAGGAGGGAGACGCTCAGAGCCAGGCAAGGGTTAAACACAAGGCCGGCCCGGCCCAAAGGGGGGGGGGGGGGAAATGTATGGTGGGGGTGGGTGCTGGCTGTGGGGGGAGCTCCCAGCAAGTCCAGCCCCAGCTGGCCCAGCAGGGGTGATGTTGGGGGGCTCCCAGCCTGGCAGGGGCGGGGCAGTCACCTGCGGAGGAGGAGGAGGAGGAGGGGGTGGGCGGGGCTCCCGGCGGGGGCGGGGCAGTTACCTGCGGAGGAGGAGGGGGGCGGGGCTCCCGGCGGGGGCGGGGCAGTTACCTGCGGAGGAGGAGGGGGTGGGCGGGGAGTCGCCCCCGCTCTGGGTCCCGTGGGTGACGCTCACGGCGGTTTTCA